TACTTTGAAATGCTACTTTTCATTTTTTCTAACTCGATGTGAACGGTATATCTGTGATTTTTCAACTCTGTCTGGACGTGTTATTTACAAACATTTCTGGAATATATGGACATGTTAAATAGATCTTATTCAAGACTATCTTTATTGCATACTCGCGAAATTTTCAAGACAACTGTGACATGAAATCAACAATCTCGCAAGACTTTTTTTTTTACGTAGTTGATGTAAATGTGTTCAGTAAACTTTGATTGTTCCTTGCAAATATTTTCAATATATTGTCAAGTTATAATCAATAAAGAATTCTGAGACGATGGAACTTAGCCTAGATATTTTATCAAAGTTCACAGACACTATTAAATAATACGGTGAGATATCAATAACAAGTTTCTAGTAAATGTAATCAACTATTTCGCCCATATTTATGGAATTTTCGTCATTAGAGATTTCTCATATGCTGATGAATATGAACAAAGACAAATTGATAAGAACCTTATGTTATTTTAACTTTAGGAGTAATTCAATTTTTCAAACGAAATTCCGAGCTTTTGCGTGTTGTTGTCGAAGTCACGCTACATCAAAGGGTAAATGATGGATCAAAAACTTAAGACAACGGTAGTACGAAAAGTGTTTTTACACGAGTCATCCCTAACGACTAAAACATTTTCAATAATCCAGACTTGAATCTACTGAAACCTATTATATAAGATGATTTACTTGTCGTGATGAATTGGAACGAAATTAAATGAAATAAGCAATGAATTGAAGGATTCAAATGTACAGTAAAGTAAATTCAAGAAAAGAATGCTTTCGAAAGGTGCGACAGTTTTGACCAATCATTTGTTGTATTTGACAATAAACTATTTTAAATATTTAGGCAAATGATGATTGATCATTCTGTAGAGAATCGAAAAACAAGTCTTTAGAAAAAATTGTTTAAATAGATGAATAGATCATCGAACTATTAATGAAATATTGAGAGATTCATTCTATTTGCGCCATCCATTATAAAGTTGTCTTTTAATGATCAATAATCAATGAAGCGCGAGTCAGTCACCGACTAAAATTGTTTATTCTAAAGAGAAGAACAGTCAAGATGAATAAACATGAAGTTACGTGATGTTTGAATGACTGGTTTTTCACAAGTTTTAACATTAAAAGTCGAGACTATGATGAGTATATCTGAGATTGCGAAGGGTGTTAACAAGATTTTTCTTCTGGTATGCTTCAAAATAGAGTTAGGTGGCACAATCCCATACAACTCGTATGCAAACTTTCTAAATTTTTCCAAATCAAAATACGGTTAGGTTCGATATGATCCGAAAAATATACTATCGTATCTTTTCGTTCATAAATTAGTTGCAAAGAAATTAAACCAATTGAATTTCGATCAGTTTTTCCAGAAGACACCACTCTCGTGAACAATCTGATATCGGATCCGAATATTTCCAAAAGGATTCAGCTATAGAATACGATTATTTGAAAATAGCTCTAAAAAGAATCTTTCTACGTAACGTCTTTTATATTATTAATATTTATTTAGTTACATGCTGATATAAATCAATCTCGAGAATATATGGCGCGTTTTCGTAGTCATGGTTGGGAACCTAATGAATTAAAAATTTATTGGAATGTACAACAACTTGAAAATCTTTGTCCGAAACATGAAACACAAGCTGAGCAAGTAGAAGTAAGAGATGAAGAAAAAACTGATGTCAACAGTGAAACGAAACATACTCTAAAAGATACAACAAAAGTTGAAACAAAACTCGAAAAAAACGAAGAAGTAAACAATGAAGCAACAGTCGATGTGAAAAATGAAAGTAACAATGAAGTAAGGAGTGAAGTGAAAGGTGAATCAAATGAAGAAGCAAAGAATGAAGCAACAGTCGAAGCAAAAACTGAAAGTAAAAATGAAGTAAGAGATCAAGTGAAAGATGAATTAAACGAAGAAACGAATGGTGAAGCAACAGTTGAAACAAAAACTGAAAGTAATAATGAAGCAAGGAGTGAAGTAAATGATGAAGCAAAAGCTGAAAATTTCCCACCACATGATCCATCTGATGCTGATGTCATACGAGCTCTACGTCAGTATCCTGTATCAAAACGAAATAATGCTGGAAAGATCACCTATGTCAACAAAGGAATTGAAAAGGCCGTTTTTGATGTACCTG